AAAATACTTTACTACGTTATTAAAAGTGATCGATGACTAATCAAATCTATTTTAGTATGTTAATTTAATTAAGATTAAGTGGAAACAACTACTGTGGATTCTCAATCGCATTATTTGAAATCTGAATAACAAATATTAAATAGCACGAAATCATTTATGTTTAATGTTAAGATCAATAATTTCCATAAAATAAACTGTGAGCGTGAGAGATAATCAATAGATAATGAAATCTTTGTTATCTATTCATTCAAGTATAATGATAAAAGTGTAGCATTATTAATTTTGGTTTCTTTTATCAATGAAACTGACCTTTTAGAACCTAAAACTAAATCTAATCCATGTATAGTTTAAACCGTATACTATCAACTTTACTTTGATATTAAATAGAAAATTGCGTCTCGAAATTTAGAGAATACAAAAAAAAAACAGAATTGAATCAATAAATTGATATTTGGATTGATAATTCCATTGATTTTATATAAGGAATGTTTTTTTTTTCATATAAATACAACGACTGATAAATCTTAAACACTCGATAAGTACGGTCGAGGCATTATTAATTGAATTATCCAAGTATCATCCTATCACTGACATAGACAGATGAAATACGTATAGACAGTCTATTTCATACTCTTTTTTTGAAACTTTCAAAATCTTTAGATTGCATAGATAAATATCAATTTTAATCCTATTCTAACAGTTGTCGTCGACTTTTACCCATCAACAAAAGCATTTCTTATAGGACTCACCATCTGAAAACCTCGTAAACATATATATCCAAATTAAAATATAGAAGAAAAATATATTCCTATAATATACATTAAAAAAGAAATTTTGAATTTTTTTTATTTATATATTTATGTATACAATTAAGGAAATTTATGAATGAGATTAAAATCGTATTATGTATGTCTATACAAACACAACACCGAGATGAGAAATATCAACATGTTTTTTTTTTTGTGTTTTTGTTTTTGTTTGTTCATTCAATGGGAATTGTCCAAACAAGATACGACAATTGATGAGTGTGTGGATTTAAATTTTGTCGAGAACGTTCAGTTAATTTTGGACATTGAATAAATCCAATTGTTTTTAAATTTGGACAATGTTTGAGCAAAAAAAGAAAGCCATCGTCTGTTATTTCCGTACACATTCTTAAATTTATTTCATTTAATGTATGATGAAAAGATGATTGTCCAATAGATATTAATGAATCATCAGTTATATGTGTTTGTGTTAAAGCTATTGAACGAAGATGAGTTAACTGTCGAAGACCATTAATACCTTCATCAGTTATTTTAATACAACCAGTTAAATCAAGTTCCATTAAACGTAAACAATGTGTACCAATAGCAATAATACTATCATCAGATATTTGTGCACAATTATGTGCACGAATTTTTCTTAATGATGGATATTGTTGAACAAATTGTGTTAAACCATAATCAGTTATATTTATGCCGCGTAGATATATAATGGACGGATTCAAGACGGATGTTGTTGTTGTATATGGTGGAATTTCATTTTGTGTTGGCGATGATGATTGAAGACGTTTTCGTTCGATTTGTGCAGTTAATGAACAGCGTGCCATTAATATTAATGATTGATCAGTTATACTTGCACAATCACGAAAATCGAATGTACGCGTTCGACAATTGAGTAAAAGTGGTAAATTATCATCAGTTATAAGACCACGATGGGAAAGTAAAGTAAATAAACGTGCTTTAAGATTAACAGGTAGAGCAACTAATGTTGATGATTGTGTTAAAAGAATCGTATTAAAATGATTAACAATTGCATATTCACACAATGTGACTAGTTTAGCTACCATGGTCTATACTAAAAAACAAAAAAAAACTTCAACCAATTGATAACATGTTTTAAAAACTAAAACCAATTAAATTAGCTTTTTAACCATTTAACAAAAAAAAAGAGAAAAGAATCACAAAGCAATCCAAAATAAAACAATAACAAAAAATTCAAGGAAGAATTAAATTTGTCGTATCTGGCCCCATAAACTATTGCGAGAATGCTCGTCACTAAGAGATCACATGTATTTTACATCCCGGAACAAAAAAAAAAAGAAGCAAAGCATAATATATTTGTTCAGATTATTTAGATAACATATATATTGTTCATAGCAGAATAGTAATGTCGATTTTATACATCAATTGTATCAAGTGTAGTAAAGCATTTAGTGAAATCAATATTTGTAAGTGAAGTGCCGTGTCGTCGTGCACCCCAAATAGCAGCACCTAATTTATCAAACGAACAAGAAATAATTCGAAAGAGAGAATTTATTTTTTCTTTCTCATACCAATTGCTGCTGAATGTGTTAAGCGAACAAGTTCAACTTTATTAAATGGAAGTGAATGTCCATTTGAAAGTGCATCCATGAAACCTACAGATTATAAGCTGTTTAATAAATAATTCAAATGAAAACATTTATGTTTAGATCATTTAATCGCTGATTACAAAGGAAAAAGAAAACAAGCAAATTTAGAACTTAAAATTATATTAGCCATAATTATTTACCTGGTTTTAAAAATTTCCAACTATGAAAAACTGAACCAACTGCTACAACACGTAATTTTCCATGATCATACAACTGTTTTTCAATATAAGGTGAAATCGCTCGAAGATGTGCACCTAACATATAACCAGCCTCTTTCAATAATTCTTGACATGCTTCATCATTATTATTTGAAGCTACTATAAATGAAAAAGATCTATTAAACAAAAATGTTTCTTTTTTTCTTTTTGTTCATAACTAACATTCAGCAATAACTTCAGTAAAACGTGCAATCAAATCTTTTTGAAAATTTTTATAAAAATGATTTAAAAGTTGACTCAGTTCTTGAACCTATTTAATAAAGAATATGAAAATGTAAAAAAAAAAAAAAATAATAAAATTTACTTTAAAATATGCTTTTATTTCATCTCTTAATCTTGTTAAATCATGACGCGATAAATTTAAATTATCTGTATGATCAAAAACACGTTTTATAGCTCGTTGAGCAATCCAATATGCACTTCCTTCGTCACCTAATAAATGCCCCCATCTAAACAATAAATTATCATAAACAAAAATAAAACAATGTTATATTTCTTTATTACCCGCCTGCTCGTTTACTCGAACCATCTGCATTATAAACAACACAATTTGAACCTGTGCCAGCAATAATAACAACTCCACCATTTGGTACAGGTCCTAACATATCTTCACCAATGGAAATTTTACTTGTATCAACATTGAGCGATTGAAGTTCATGTCGTAAATTTGATTGAGGTTCACTTTGTCCAGTACCACTTAAACACATACCCTTATATTTAAAATAGAAAACTTTTCTAAACTTTACATTCAATCCATTTACTTACAACACTGACAATTTGGTCCCAACTAACTTCGTCTTTAGCGGTAATATCTTCCATTAGTTGCTTTAATAATTTAGCCGAATTCTCAAATCCAATGATCTTTTAACAAACAAAAGGTTGAATCAAACATTCAAAATAACAAATTTATTTACCCAAGGATTTGATGGCCCTGCTTTTATTGTCACATAAACCTTACCAGTCTCATCAATTAAAACCCCTTCAGTTTTTGTTGCACCACCTTCAATACCAATAAAAAATGGATTCATAATCTAAAGAATATGTAAAACTTAAATTGTTCTCTCATATGAAATAATTCATCATTAAAAAACGAAAAAAAGAGAACTTTCAATAAAATAAACATACAAGAACACAACATCACAAGAAAAAAAAGAAAACGAACGTACATGACAAATGAAAAAAGACAGAAGTAAATATACATACATAACAACGAAAGAACGATTAACTAAAGAAAAGAAAAAAAAAAAACTACACGGCTACCGGAGGAAAAAAAAGGACGACAAAATCATATAGAAATGAGACGTATCGTTTAGAGAGTTTTTGACCTCTGATAGAAATAAAAGTTTTTATTTGACAACATACATACACGAAAAAGAAGAGAATTTCTAAGTATTTGTCTAATGTTACGATATAAACAAACACTATCTGTTATATGAGTTTAAATTACTCGGATATGACTGTGTTGAATTTATATTCGACTGTTCAGATGTAGTTGTATTTGATGAATAATCTAATGATTGTTGTTGAATTGCATATCCATTTGGACGATGATCAGAACGATTTTCTTTTATAAAAAAAATTGTAAAATTTAATTTTCTATATACATTAAAACCTCTGTAAATTTGAGCACCATTGGGACCGATCACAACTAAGCTGAAGAATACGAATTCCCAAGTTGTGAAGAAACTTTCAACAGAACTATGATGATTTCTCGAGGAAACGAAAATCGATCATTAGTTCCTGGACAGTTCCGCCACTCATAGAATGCAAAGCAATACTTTTTCTTCACTAGCTTTCACTACTCACACATTTATGTTCATAAATTCTTTGATGTATATGAATGTGAAAGCAAAAAGTATCATGGATATTGTATTTTTTTTTTTATTTCAGCAATCATGTAACTATGGACGAATTGATAAGGAGGAATTTCTATTTCTCAATCCTTGGATACCCCTGATAAGCATGTTTGCTGTGTTGTATAATATTGTTCTTTTTTTTTCTTTTATATTTCGAAGGTTAGTCCCCCCTCTCCCCCCTCCCCCCCTTTCTTATCAGGGGCACGGTTGTTTACCTCAACGCGCGACACACATAACATCATTTTTTTTTGTGTTCTGTATGGAAACAATACAATGAAAAAAGAAAACTATGTCACATACAACTTGAAAATGATTTTATGTGCACTACAAAACCTTGAAAACGCTCCATAAATTCCGTAATAAATCTTCTCAAGAGTTTCGAATTGATTTCATTGCTCGAAATTTCCAGTGTAGAGCGTTGTGTTGCACCCATCACAGAGGTTGTTTATTACTCATGGGGCCAGAAATAAGCGCCCGCTGCTCATTCCTAACAAAAATTCCTTGAACGGGCTATAGACGACTCTTCAGTATAAGGAAGTGCTCATACAGAGAAGTTTTATATTGTATATTGAATCTTACTTTTAAAATATGATTGTGAAGGTTGTTGTTGCTGTTGTTGCTCATTATGATAATATTGTTGTTGTTGTTGTTGTTGTTGTTGTTCACCTTGACGTCGTTGAGTAGGTGGTGATGATTGAGATTGTTGTTGATAATTAACAGAATTTGTCATAAGATTATTCATTGAACGATGTGATGGAAATCGATTTGATTTTTGATTCCAATAAAGATCATTATTTCCTCCACTATAATTACGCGTATAATTTCCACTACCAGATCGACGAGGATTATTATAATTATTCCAATATTGTTGTCCAGAATATTGATTATGTTGTTGTTGTTGTTGACCAGATTGATGATGAGTATAATGTTGTTGAGAATGACCTTTTGTATGATGTGGTGGAACTGTTTCATTTACATTTGTATGATTAGTTGATGATGTTGTCAAAGTATTTGCTGTTCGACGTGACCCTTCACGATTATTGTTATCAAACCAAACTGTAATAAAGAAAGGACCATAAGAAGAAATTTTTAGCATTTTGTTTTTTTCTTCTTCTTCGTATTGCTTAAGTTTCATAGATTTACATTCAACTATTGTGTAAAGACATTAATTATATCAAATAACTTTTAGTAATTATTGTGAAGAGTGAATCAGTGGGGTAAAAAAATAGGAAATACAAAGCGCAAAGCATTTGGTAGAAAATTAAATTTAGTTTATTGTACAAATAAAAGTTGAGTTTTTTTCTATTCAGCTACATAAAGTCCGGATTTGTCTATGCACCAGCGCAATTAGATTAAACGATTTGTAGTAATTAGAATTATTCGAAAGCGTCTCCTAAAGAAAATAATGACTTATTTTTCTCTCGCAAGTTTCAAAGAATATTATCATTTTTCTTTCTGAACACTTTTACAATAACAATTTAACACATGGAATGTTTTCTGTCGATCATTGACGATAGTCTTCTGATAAAAACACAGTATATTAATTATTAATACTTTCAATTTTGTTGTCAACTTTTTTTTCTATGGCAGCATACTCCAGTTTACTAGATCAATATTTTTTGCACGCAAAATAAATTGATCCTTTAAATTAAGAAATATTATAGAATATACCATGAAATTTATAAAATGTTCACTATTAACCAGGTTCTGTGCAAAAGGTGAAAGGGTATATTTGGAAATATCTCAAAGAGATAGTAGAAAGTAACTTTCTACTCATTTTATTGAATAATAACAGATTATTTTCAATTATTGGAGACAGCAAGTGTTATTGGTATACACCCGCTACTATCACGAGACCTGACATTATCAGAAGAGTATCTATAAAATACGAAAATAATGTTATCAAGAGATAAAAAGTTTCATGAACAATTTCTTACGTGGTAGTCGGAAGAAACAAAATCATTATTCAAACAAGAAATCGCTAAGTGCAAAGATAGGCAAAATCAATGTGCGAAAGAAGTTTTCTGGTAAACTCTAGAAAATATTTATTTATATACATATATATTACCAAAGACTTTGCTGCCAAATATAATATTAGAAAACCTTGAAAAAAATAATCATTATGAACTTCACTTTTCCTTAGCATTTTTTAAAATTATTTATTTTAAAGAAAAGAAAACCATTCATACAAACCTCTTTGTAAATGTTGAATAATTTCTCCAATATTAGAAAAACCTTCATTGTTAATTAATGATGATGAAGTTGTTGTCGATTCAGCTAAAGAACTCGTTCTTGAATTTTGTCCTGATCTATTCATTTTGAAGAAAACAAAATCAATATTTTATTAAAAAAACAAAGATAACTATGACTATTTTCTAACCGTTCATTATTATTGCTTGTCAAATTAAATTGTTTTTCACCACCGGTTGAATTCGGTGTTGAAGAATTTGTTGATGGATAACGTTGATGTTGTTCTTCACGTGAACATACATATTCTTCATTAGTATTCGGCTCATTTAAATGTGTAGTACTCATCATAAAGCGACTTTTTGTTTCAAAGATCTTTAATCAAGAAAATAAAAAAAGGAAAATTAATCAACAAAATTTTTCTAAGAGAAAATAAAACAAACAAACAAGTAAATAAACAATTTTAATTAAATCTATTGGGTTTAGCCGAAACCAATGAAAACTATAATTTATAAATTCGATTCTTTTATAGATGTTTTTTATTTTTAAAAAAATTTCTTGAGAAAACTAAAATAAAAATATTTACAAAAAATTAAATACTTAATTTTATTTAAGACAACGTACGACATCTATTTCTTATGTAATAAGTACGAAATTATATTATCCAAAAGTAATAATTTGTCGAAAGAAAGATTTCATCATCTTTTCTTATCTTTTGATCAATATTCTTTTCGTGTCTTCTTAATTGCGGACAAAAATCAAAACAACTAGAAGACCGACAGTGTGGGTGAGGGCTGAAATTTTGTCCGCAATCAAGCTGTAGCCATTCTTTTGCAAAAAAAATTCTAATTAACACATTCTAGAAACTTCTGTAGACAAAACAAATAAAATGTTTACTTGACGTAAATTTACTACTATTCATATAGATAACTCTTCTATTGATGTGACTGGTTAACCTCGAGGACATGTATTATTATTCAAATAGAATTATTTACGTCCTTCTAACAATCGTAAAAATGTTTTTTTTTGCTCTTACTACTTTCTTTTGTTATTCAAGGCTTTTCATATTGCTTTCTTTAGTAAAAATATGAAGTATAACTAAGATATAAACTTCACCATACAAATACATGATATATTCGTTTTCATGGTTAAACGATGTCTCTGTCTTTGCTGTTTCTTAATAAAAAGCATGATGTCTTATGAAAGATCATAATAATCTCTTATTCTAGTTTATTATGAAACAAATAAGATACAACAAAAAAATTCCAATCAGATATTTCGACTACAATTTTAATGTTGTTGTTCATTTTCACTATATATACTCATGCAGTTATATGCATTCACATTGGAAAATGAACAATAAGAAAAAGAAAAGTCGCTATACAATAAAGTAAGCATAAACGAAACAAAAGAACAATTTTTATAAATCATACAATAAAACAAAAGTCTATCTGTTGATGTATTGATTTGTATTATATTACTTTCCACAATGAGAACAACATTGAGTATTGATCGAATCAAGTCGATCATCATTTGAACTATCGTTACTTAGCTCCGATAATAAATCATTACCAGATCCACTTATTGTTCTTTTTATTGTTATTTGAGTTTGAGGTGTTGATACCACAATACCATTGGTAAGTGTATGTATCGTTCTTCCACGTTTTTTACAACTAATTAAATATCATGGAGAAATAATAATTAAAAAGTAAGTTTGTTTTTATAAACATACCATGTTGAATCGATACCAGCATTGATATAAACCGAACCATCAGATCCATCGATCTCAGTCAAATGTCGATCTATTGGTTGAGGTGGTGATTTTCGAAATTTTTGTCGGCGAATAAGAGAACTGCTCATAGTGAAAAAGAGAAGTTATAGAAGAAAAATTATTAAAAAAAGTCAAAGATTTGTACACAAAAAAAATTGATGTTACAGATCTTGTGTCTGTGTGGGACTGCTTTGAGTAAGAAGAGTAGATGAAGAATAGGATATACTCTAAAAATGATTTTTTGTCGAATTGAGATTAATAAGCGTTTACATACATATATATATACGTTCACATCCCTTCCGTTCTCCCTTTCTCTCTTAAAAAAAGAGAACGAAAGAAAAACGAGAGAATGGGGGAGTGAAAAAAAGAGAAAGATAGATAATAAGATATATCGCCGTTCAAAAAAGCATTGTGTTACACCATCGCAATTTTCTTATTCATTATTCAATGTATTTTCGGTCATCATATACTACATGACCTGTCCTTTATCCATCATTACTAATAGTTATTCATTAGGATATATTCAAATACATATTTTCATCAAATCATTTGTTCTTCTTCAATACTATTTTTCTTAGTGGAAAAAATACTTTTTTTTGTTCCTGTTACGTTACAAGCAAAAGAAAAAAAGAAACGAAATAGAGAACAGAAAAAAAGAAAGAAAGGAAAAAAGAAAGAAAGGAAAAAAGAAAGAAAGGAAAAAAGAAAGAAAGGAAAAAAGAAAGAAAGAAAAGGAAATGAAGATGTGTTTGTACTTCAAGTTCAATATTAACAATACAATAAAATCTAGACATACCCACAACCAAAATAGACAGACACTTCATTGTATTTGATTTTAAAGGCATTTTTATTTGATATTATTCATGCAACGAAAAAAAAATTTTTTAAATATATATCAAGAAAAAAAAGTAAAAAAAAAGAAAGCACAATTGCACAATTATAAATAAAGGAATTAAGAAAAAAACCTTTAGTCGAAGGTTATTAATAGTGGTTCAGGTTTTTCTTCATTAACGACCGAAGTCGGTTGTTGCTGTTGCTGTTGCTGTTGCTGTTGCTGTTGCTGTTGAGTATAAGATATGTTTGCATTAGTCATTGGCAATTGGCCAAAAGGATGAGTGTAGTTATTATCTACGTAAAACAAAACTATCATTCACTTAATTATTTCGATAAGGACAAATAGATATGATGACTCAAATCGAAATATTATTTTTCTATTAATAGAATTAGAAATACTATTGGTTAGTCAAGGTTCTCCGATAAGAATATTTTCATACGATAGATTTTATTAGATTTTTTTTCGCTTTTTCATGCTAGTCTGTCTAAATATAGATTAGTTAAGGACAAAAACATGCACTGAAAATACCTCCAGTAGTTCCCATTGGATAAGAAATCGGTTGCATTGATAATGGCGCTGGTGCATTAGCTAATAAATTTGTATCTATTGTGGGTGGTGGATACATCATCATAGAAGGATAATGCGATGATGGTAGAGGCTGTTGTTGCGTTGGAAGCGGTGTTACGACTGAATATTGATTTGTTGAATCCATTGATGGCTGTACTGGTAAAGTACTATATGGTGATTGATAGGCAAGATTTTGTTGAGGTAATCGACCATAATCATATGATACTATGGACTAGAAAAAAGACAGAGAATGGTTTTTATTTATGATGAAGAAGTTCAATGAAATGATGAAATATTATAAAAGATATCCTTTGAGAAAAAAAATTCTATAAATATAATAAATGTAGATGAATAAGGTATTGATTTTTCTTCTTTTGAATGTCCTGAACTTCAAACAAAGTACATTGATGACTTTTAATTTTTCTTTTCTTTTATATCTAAATGTTATCACGTATAGGACGAGAAAATTGATGCATTTAGTCTATTCTAATCATAGATAATTAAATAAAATATAATTACCAATTGAGGATTTTGTACATGTTGTTCACGTGCTAATGTTAATTGTCGTTGTTGCTCAAGACGAGTTTTCATTTCAAGTTCTTGCTGTGCTAAACGTTGAAGATGTAATTGACGTTGATATTCAAGATATTCCTATATGTGAAAGAAAAAGAAAAAGAATTGATTTCTATTATTTAAAAAATGTTTTATTGAATAAATATGATTTTATATATCTTTTTTGTTATTGAAATAACTAAAAAATAAGAGAAACTAACTTGTTTCTTTTGCCTCATAAAATCAAGTTTTTGTGCTAATTGCATCTGTCGTTGTCGATCACGTTCTATAGCTTCTTGTTGTTTTCTTTCATTATGTTCTGCACGTAAAGCATTCAATGCTTCTCGTGCATCTTTTAATTGACTTAATTTATCTTGTAAATTTTCATAATAAGCTAAACAAATAAAAAAAGAATTACTCCTTTAGTTTTCTTCTTTTAAAATTAATTTAATAATTTACTTCGTTTATCTTCTAATAATTGCATATAATGATGAAGTTCAGGATGAAAATGTTGAAGCATAACAAAAACAGATTGAACAGCTGTATCAGTTGTAATATTTCTACTACGTTGTTGATTACTTAACATTCGAAATTTAAAATGATTTATATGATCAGTAACAACAGTTGTAAATTGATCAATTTCATTATCGGTTATAAAATTATTTATTTCATCCTTGAAGAAAAATAACCGAAAATTACTAATAGAAAAATTGTTTTTTTTTTAAATCTTACTGGCAATTGTGTTTTGATTTCTATTTCATGACCATTGGATAAATTTGTTGTATTTAAGTTTTCTCGTTGTTGTTCTTGACGACCTTTTTCAATATATTTAGTTAATTCAGCATATTCATTATTGTTTTCAGAAACATTCTGCAACGAAATAATATATATATATATTTCTTAATAATTAAAAAATTAATAGATAAAAATTTAGAACATCTGTTTTTCTGTCCGACGGAGATGCTCGAATTAGATCTAAGTAATGAAATATTTAAAAACAAGACTTTTTACTTGATTTTTTAAACATTAATGAATCGCTATGACAGGTCCCTAGATTAAGAAAAACAGGCTGACTCCGAGAGAAACATCTTCGATGACTTGTGACAAAACTTTTGCTTTTCTCTAGCAGAAAATGATCAGAAATCACTGAAAAAGGCCGGAATACTGTGCCTCAGTTCCAGTAATCTCCAGCGTATCCAGGCTGGATACGATGATTTTCATGCATCTTTCCAACTCATTCCAATGCAGTCTGCTTATTTCAGAAACTTGGAATGATCACCATGAATCTATAATATTTTGTATTCTAAGCCAAAAAAAGAGTTCTTCATTCAAAGACGAACAAGCTGATTCAGTGACATTAGAATCAGCTCTTTTTTCTTTGGTAATTTCTGGAGGAGATCTCAAATGACTCTTTGTTTTGGTTTGAGTGATACAGAAGATCATTCTACCTGATCATAATAGTCAATCTTAGGGTTGGAAAGATATCCGTTATATAGTAAGGGAGAATTTGGAAGTTTATCAAGGAAACATCTTTAGAATCGTGAAATTGTGTATTGTCGCGAAAGCTATTTTAGGACACTTGATCGAGAAACTAATTACAAATCTAGACTCATTGAACCCTGTAACTCCCGATCAAACCTTGTAGAAAAAGTCGTGTTTTTCCCCCCAAGGCTAATTGCTGACAAAAGAATCAAGTCTACGAGTTTTCCGTTAATTATTATTTAATAACTACCTTCGTCTATTCCGGTGGTCAGAAATTAACATCTTTGCTTTACATATTCGATTTAAAAGATTTGATTAGTTAATTACCGGAAGATTATTGTTTGTAGGAGCCGATAGAAAACTTGACATAGCATATTTTTGTGTTAACATTTTTTTCTGTCTTTCTTTTTCTTCTGCTTCACTTTGTGACATAGCCAAAGCAAGTTGAAATGATTCTTCCTCATCTAATTCAGCTTGACTTTTTCCCTAAATAATATAAGTTTTTTAGTTTTTCTGTTAGTTGTTTATTTACTTGATTAGGTGCTGGAGCAGATGTTGAATACGGTCTTGATGATGGAATTGGTCTTGGTATTGGAGTAGAATTTAGTGTTGGTCTAATTAAATAAAACAGATAAAGAAAACAATTTTATTTCTTTTCTTTACCCAGATGTCAATTTTTCATAACATGCAACGCAAACACGTACATCACGATCTATGCCAAATTTTGGTATTGGACATTGTTTCGATGAACCTATAAAGATTTTATTCTTTTAAATAAATATAAACGACTCTATCGGATGAAATGACCACTCTTCATTTGAAAAGCAACCTTTATCATTTTTTAGAACAACTCGTGCATCATTGAATGATATATAGCAAAACTGTTTTGTTTCACCAAGTTTTAAAGTTCTCAGAAGCCTGATACCAACTAAGGGATATCATAGTAATTGTGGGTGATATCACCAAATATTAAAACTCAGTATGTCATTAAATCATACCTATATTATCAAATTTTAGTTATTTCTATAGAGTTTTGTCTCGTCTTCAATCATATATATCTAATGATACTTACCATAGATTTCTTCGTACCTAATAATCTTAACATTTTGACTACCTTGTGTAAATTTTAGCTTTTGTGACGTTATAAAATGTTCAATACTGCTTCTGAGATCAAAGACAACTAACCATTCAACTTTCTGAGAAATTGTATGTCACCAAGTTCTATAAATATACCAATTGGCTCTCTTCTAAAGTCAAGTGTATCATGAGAAAATCAGACAATTAATGAATAGAAAAAGATCAATTTTTCGGTTCCTGAGGACAGAAAAATATATAAATAAAAACATATGCATCTATTCATAATAAGTTAATCATACTGTATCATTTGACATAAATGGATCTTATCAAAATGGCTAAAAAAGTTTTTGCTTTCTCTTGTGAGATATAAAAATTTTTCATATCCCCGTACTTCATCCTCGAGGGGATCTGAGAGTAAAAACATGTTTTGTCAGTTTTGAAAGATCCAATTATATAAAACGATAGGTCGTAATGAACTTATTATGAAAGGATACAAACTTTTTTACTTCTATACTTTTCTGTCCTTAGAAATCGAAAAATTAGTCTTTTCACGCCTTGATTGGACAATTTGACCATGATACACAGCAATACAGAGGGCAATCAATTGGTATACTTATAGGACTTGGTGGCGTACAATTTTAGAGTAAGTTATATGGTTGGTCGCGTTTACTTTCAGTAGCATTATCGAACAATTTAAAACATTATAAAAGCTAAAAATTGCATAAGCTAGTAAATTCTTAGAACATTCAAATTTTATAAAAAAAAAAACAATTTTCTATATGCCATTCAATGTATCATGAGTTGCTATGCGTAACGGAAACTTTGTAAATGAAGAGTGGTCATCTTATCTGACAGGATCCTTTTGTTTTTAAATTTACATTTATCACAAAAAATTTCTCCACATGCTCGACAATGATGCTAAAAACAAAAAAGAATCAATTAAAAATTTTTGCAAAAATATTTCAATTTTTATTTTATTTTTTTTTTGTTTACTTTACGATTAAAAGTTGTAAATGTTTGTCGACAACGAAAACATTCTTTATCATCTCGCCATTCTGGTGCTACATCATTATTTTCAAACATAGCTTCACTTTCTTTTAATGGTGGAAAACGATAATTTTCAAGTTTCATTAAATTATATGTATCAGTGAAAATTTTATGTTGTTGACCTTAAAATAAAATTAATTTTAATATTTTGTTGAAAAGAATTTATTAAACACATACCAAGACCATATGACCAACATTGAATTAGTTCAAGAACTTTATCACGAATTAGATCGGGTCCATTCTTAAAAAGTCAATTTTTTTTTATTTATTATCTTAGTTTTGAAATATTTTACTTTTGCCAATTCTCGTAATGCATCAACCATATCTCGTTGTGCAGCTTCTTTATGAACTGATCCTCCACAATTTTTTACTATGGATTCCAAACACTAAAAAACAAGGTTTTTTTAAGAGTACAATCTAAATTTGAAGACAGTAATTTTTTGCTTAAAATATTTAGATAAATGAATTTTCATCCAGACTGATCATTTTAAATGACGTAAACTATTACAAAAAAAACTGTAATTAATTTTACAGACAATAAAAAACAGCTGTCGCACATGTCAGAAACATTTTTATTTCGTTTTACAATCAAAAAGACATCATTGTTTCAAAAGACTCTTATCATATTTCGATACTTAACAACAATTGTATTTATGATTACTATTCTGAGTAGAATTAATTGGAATCGAAATCCAAAACTAAAAGTTCACTAAAATGGAAATCGTAAGCAAGAAACATTTATATATAAGTTCGTTTTTATGCATTTTTCCAAAATCAAAGTAAGATTTAGATATCTAACGAAGGAACAAACTTATTTCTAATAGTTTCAATTTGTTTTAAATGCTAGAAGTAAGAATATTTGCGTATTACATTTTTACAAATACTACTGAAATATAAATTTTAGCTTAAAAATAAAAATCATTTTGTATTCATAATGAAACTTACAAGAAGCGAACTAAGAACTACATGAGCATTTTCATGACCAAATTTTTTCTTAATCGATTGTACTGCATATTTTGGTCTAAAATTAACAATTAATAATTTTTATTTGTTTTTGTGCATCAATCAAAGTTTTCTTGTTTTGTTTTTTTTCTTACGTCACTTCTTGTGATTTAACAATATCACAAAGTTGAACAATAGCTTCCCAATCAGGTTCAAGTAAAAGTGGACTTGTTGCTTTTTCTAATAAAATAAATTTAAAAAAAAGAAAAATTTTCTTAACTTTTATTTTAAAATCTTACCAAATAATTTATCAAAAATTTTTGTATTTGATAAACTAAATAAACTCATATTAATCTAGAAAAAAAAAACGAAAGCACTGTTTATATATTTATTCAAATTTTATTTTATCTAAACCAAGATTTATTTCATCTCTATATGCCCATGAAAAACAATAATGTTCAAATAATTGTTCTAATAATTCTTTTTCATCTAAACCACCATCAATTATTTCAATTTTTTGTTTTTCATTTGAATCTAAATATTTTTTATAATATTCATTTAATGTTAAACAATGTGCTGACATAAAATTTGCATTCATATATCTTTCATATTGACTATTTATTGATTGACATGAATCCATACCAATTAAATGACATGAACGTTGTTTTAAATTTTCAAACATAATTTGTCCAAAACGATCATTCATATTAATTTGTTCAAAATTTAAAAATAAACTACATTGAGAAAATGTTTGTGATAAATATTTTAATAAATTTAATGAATGTTCATTTGACATATAAATTAAAACACATTCACTTATAAATAATGTTGGTTTTTTAAAATCAATAATATTATTATTTGAAAGAATTTTTAATTGATTATCTAATTGTGTTAAATTTCGAAGATCAGCTGGTAAAATTGTATATAATGATGAATGAAAACCACATGGAATTCTTAATGTTTTATTATTTATGGGCAATTTATTATGAAGAATTGGTATACGATGAATTTTATTTGCTTTTATTTCAGTTATTTCATCGAAATCAATATCAATAAAATGTTTAAAATGAAGATTTGCATTATCTAATAAATAAAAAACTGTTGTATCAAAACCACAACCAAGATTTATTATTTGACAATCATTATTTGTTAATTTTATAAATTTTTCAATTAAATAACGAAGTCCATGAACACGTACATAATAACCAATACTAATTTCTGGTGTACGTCGTTCAAGATGTGTTGAACCAGCAAGAATTTTTAAATATGGATCAGTCCAATATCCACGTTCAATAGCATATAATTTACATTGACATGCATCATTATTTGTTTCGATTATATTACTATTATCGACTACTGTTTTATCCATACAACTAGAAATTTTAGATAAGAAAACGAAAAGATGATGACGTTGAATTAAATATTACTCACATTGTTTATATAATAATGATTAATTGTTTTTGTTGATTATTATGGATTTATAAATATATATTCGGATGAAAATATATCTTCTGAAGAGATTTTTTTATCGATTTGAAAGTCAGACATTTGATTAAGCAAAAGTTTAGTGACATCTCTCGATTTTGTTTCGATTAGTAGGAATAATGAAGACTGAAAAGAAGTCGAAGTGAAATAAATAATTTCTTTTTTTCAAAAACTAATAAGGAACAGTATTTGTGAAATCAACTGAGAGAAATTTTTATTGATTTTCAGTATTATCTTAAGATGTCACTAATCTGCAGCAACCAGTGGCGGAGCCAGGGGGGTGCAAGGATGGGCTGAGCCCACCCTACAGAACTTTGAGCCCCCCCTAGAAAGAGTTTAAAAAAATCCATTTCTTTATCCGAATATGTATCAATATTTGCTATTTCACATTTTAACATACAGGCTCATTAAGTTAATTTTAATAGTTTTCTTCAGTTTACTATATTTCTGCAAAACATAATACGTTTCTTGTTTAAATGTGGCTGGATAGAGCATTCATTTCTTTGTCGAACTGTATATTTTTTATCTGATTTATCTCTCATCTTGACCA